GTTGAGGGGGGAGGGCACACGTGCGTCCAGGTTGGCGGGCAAAGCTTGGTGAGGGGGAGGGCGGGGTGGAACCGACTGAGGGTGGTCACGCAGCAGCTGCTGGGACAGCATATGTGCTGCAGGTAATACAGGTAGGCGCAGCTCAAACTGCGCAGCGCCACGCGCATGTGCTGCGTGCAAGCCCCATTGTGGCGCCCGACGCACCTTGTCAAAGGCGAAGCTGTGCTTCTGCGGCGCCTGGCCCGACAGCGACCCCGGCACCACGATCTCCAGTCCGCGGCCCAGCAGCTCGCCTGAGATAGTCGCGGAGATACGGACGGGAATTGTTGGGGCCTCAGTTTACTGCTGCAGTGCGAGCCGCCTGACAGGAGGCCTGCAACCCGGCCCCCCCTGGTAAGGCTGCTGTAGAGCCCGCTCAGCGGCAGCAGTGCACAGCTCACGCGGCGGCGGACGCATTTCTAGGCCCCTCGACGGCGCGGGCCGGAAAGGCGTTCGAGCGGCGCTCACCGCTGGTGGGGAATGAGGTGGCGAGCGGCTCGGTGCCGCTGCCCTCGCCCTCCACCTCGCTCTGCAGCGACGGCCTCACGCGGCAGAACACGCGGATGTTTCCCTTGAGCTCCTGGAGGGGGTTCATGGGGAGGCAGGCCACAAAATGGCATGTCGTGATGAAGAGGGCAGTGGGATCAGATATCAGGGTGGGGGCATTGCGGGAAGTTGGTCAAGCCTAGGACCACAGCTGCTTCCTTGAGAGCTTTCAAGCAAGGCGGCGCCTGCTGTGCTGTGGCAGTCGCAAGCAAAAAGCATGCCGGTCGGCATGCCGATGCACAATGAGGCCCCGCGCAGCGGCGTGCCTGGATGGTGTTATGCAATTTGCGGCGGATGAGCTCGCTCTCGTAGACGCGGCGCTCCGCGTCGGCGAGGGACGCCTGCAGCGTGGACAGCTGGGCCTGGGGGGTTTTCGCACGCATGTACATGTGCATCAAGGGGCAGGAGGACAGTATGTGAGGTGCGGCCACACGGGGCTGGGCGCCAAGGGCACGGTGGGGTGTGCAGCAAAGCAGGTTCGTATGTCTCAAGGTCCTGGCGCAGGTTTGTGCAGGCGTTCGGCAACTGCGCGGCCTCCATAACCGCGCCGCATAAGCTGGCCGGCTTTGGGCCACATTGTCTCGTGCTCGTGTTTCTATACGTCCCCAAAGGCAGTCGGGCCCTCGATGCTTCAGCCGCCCCGACGGTCAACACAGGTGCCGCCGACACCGTGACCAGCCGCCCCACCCCATGGCCCCACCGCCCGCCCCCCTCTCCCTGCCAGAGGTAAGCACGCGCACACCTTGAGGTCCTCGAGCTGGGAGCCCCTGCTGGCGGCCAGGCTGTCTGCCAGCGCCTGATGCTCGCGCGCGCTGCCCAGGTCGTTGCGCAGGGCGTCAAGCAGGGCCCTGTGGGGGTGGAGGTGGGTGGGGAAGAGGGGGGCCTTTGGTTGAGAGCTGCAATTTGCAGGATGCATCTGTGACGGATGCTGGATTGGAGGTAGTAACACCCGGGTGCTAGAGTGTAACTGATTTGCTGGAGGAGGGCAGGACATGTTGAGATATATGCAACGTTGATACGCCCACAGAGTGCGACCCACCTCTGGCTGTTGAGCTGGGCCTCCAGGGTGGCCTTGCTGTTGCAGATGGCCTCCAGCGACTCTGCTGACTTGCCACCCGCCTCGCGGATCCTTCGAGCGTGGTGAGTGGTGCAGCCAGGGCGAAAGAAGATAGGGGTGAAAGGGCGACAAGATTGCGGCTAGTCGCCGGCCCACAGGGCGGCGTGCTTAGCCGCTCCGTCCTTTATCAGCTGTGGCCTCTGGCGCAACTGCGGTCCGTCGCTCCCAGCCAGCCCTGTGGCCCCACGATGCGATGTGAGAAGCGTTGCTTCACAAGCGCGGGGCCGGGTCTAGATGTGATATCGCCACTCGTCCCACGCTGCCGCTGGCCCCTGAACTCAGCCCCGCCTGTCCCACCTCTCCAGCTCATCCTTCAGGTCCTTGGCCTCAGAAGACAGCCGCTCCCTGGGGACCGCGCGTGGCCGTGGCAGGGAGCAACAAGGTTGACTGTGAGGTTGCCTATGACAGCCAAGCAGCGCATGCTGACTGCAATCTCAGCCAACCTCAAAAGCTATGAGCGTTGTCCAGGCCCATCCTGTACGGCTGATTCTGCCTCTTGTTATCCCTCCTGACCAGCACGGTGCAATCCACGCACCTGTCTGCGCGCGTCGCGTCCAGGTCGACCCGCAGCACCGCCACCTCGCGCGCCACTGTCTCCCGCTCGTCGCGCAGCTTCTGCACCTGGCCCTGTGGTTGGGCGCACGCAGCCGGACAACGGGACGGATTGGCAGCAAAGGACTGGAACTCTTCACTTGGTTGCTGTGCATGAACAGCCAGCACAGCACAGCAAAGCAAGCCACTTGCAAAACAAAGAGCCGCCGCACGACCTCAATGCCATGTGTCCAACGCAAAGCCACGCAGTGGGAGGACATCGTCCCCCTCCCCCGCACCTGCTCCAGCTGCAACATCCTCTCGCTGCTCTTGACCAGGCCCCCCAGCTCCGCCACCTGCCCCTGCAGCTCTTCGCGCGCCTTGACCACCTCGTCCCGGCGCGCCTTCTCCGCATTGAGGTCATTCTGCAGGCTGTGGGTGTACGTAATGTGTGTGTGTGTGTGTGTGTGAGAGAGAGAGAGAGAGAGAGATAAACAATTGCATGTCGTTAAAACAGTGGTGTGCATGTGTGCACGGCTTGTCGAGACCGCAACACGTGACGTCCCTGCTGGATGGCCCGAGGTGCTCCTGGACACCGCATTGAAAGCACGGGCGCTGGCCGCATACCTGGTGTTGTATGCCTGCAGTGTTGTGCTGTACCGCTGGCTCTGGCGCACCACCTCCTCCATCTCATGGATCTGCAGTCGTGGGTCGAAGTTGCTGTGGTGTCAGGTTGTGTCCAGGCAGTGCACTAACCACAGCACACAGTTGATGTTTTGACTCATTCAAACCACCAGCGTGCAAGGCACTTGCTTCCTCTTGCATCAGCGCACCAGTTGCAAAGCCACTGTTATGATCGGTATGTCACTTTCCCGTTCTGGACGAACCCACCTTAACGTCCCGCTCCTGGATCTGGCTGGTGGCCTTCTCCAGTTCTGCCTCGCGTCCGTCCAGCTGCCGCCGTGCCTCTGCCAGCTCCGCCCCTCGCGCAGCCACCTGCGCCTCCGCCTCAGACAGGCGCTGCTGCACCGCTGTGCCCTCTGCCTCCGCCTTTGCGAGAGACTCCTGGAAGACGCAGGTTGAGCGCCGCGAGCGTTTGGGTGCCGGTGCCGCTTGCAATCGCACCCACAACACTGACGTCCGCACGAGACGCAGGTCAATTGAAATGCTCACATTTGAGCGTCAGGTGAGAGCAAATAATACAGTGATAAGGCATATGGGGGAGTCGGCCTCAGGTGTGTGCATTGTGGCCCACCTTGACCTCCGCAAGCTGCTGCGCGCCCGCCACCTCCCGCGCGGCCCACTCCTCCGCCTTTGCCGCCGCGCCCGCCTGCAGCTCCTCGCTGTGCGCCTTCCACTGCTGCACATCAAGCTGGGTGCGCTCGTTCTCCGCAAGCAAGTGCCAGCCAACAGCCCTGGCAACGTTGCACCAGGGTGGGGCCGCTGTGGGACCACATGCGAGCATGCTGGCACGCGAGCAGGCATTGTCACAGCTGACCAGCCGCTCCCACCAGCCGCAGCAAGTGAGCGCGTCCCTTGTCCAAGAAAGGGATCTGTCTGCATTGAGCTCAACCCCCTGATGATATGTAATTGCTGTCCTCACTTGAGCTCCTTGATCACAGGCCCCATCTCCTCCAGCTTCTTCGCCGGCAGCGTGCCCTTCTTGAACAGCAGCCGCCGCGACAGCGCGTCTTGCAACGACATTCCCGTGCGCGCGGCAATATCGTCCCAATTCTCCTCCCCTACCGCAGGACCCGTTGCAGGGGCAGCGGCGGCAGGCGCGGCGGCTGCGGGCTTGGCCGAGCCTCCCGCTGAGGCGGATGCTGCACGCTTTGCCTCCGGCACGCTGTCCAGGGGCGCGCCGCGGCGCTTTGTGCCCATTGTATTTTGCTGTGGATGGTGCAGGGATAGAGAATCACGCAAAAGGCATTGATTGGGAGTGGACGCCGCAATTTTCTGCCTCGCAGCACACGCAGGCGGCTGACGTGCAGCAAGGCACCAGGCAAAGGTGGCTGCTCATTAACTGTGCTCGCAGCGCACCTTGTCCCCTAGCGGCCTGCCTCCAGCTGCCGCTGCCCCCGTCAGCTTGGGGATGCGGCTTTCCCGCCTTGTGTTGCCGTCCATCTGCAGTGTGTTGCAGATGACAACAAGGGGCATGCAGCATGAGCGTTGTTGAGGCCTGCGCAGCTGTTTGCATGATTACACGCAGCCCTGCAGACACTGCATGTTGTTGCATCCGCGCAGCAGACACAGACGCGCGCTGTATCGAAGGCTCGAGCTGCATATCAAATACCCGTCCACGGTCCCGCTTGCTCTGTCAGGCACGCCTGGGCAACGCACAGCTCGTCTGCTGCCCACCTCGCTGCAATCTATGCCAGGGAGCTCCTCTAGTACATGAATTATATCGTAAATTGGCGAGCCGACCGAGTCCGCGAACGTGACAGTGCCGTGGGCTGCAATGAGCGATCAACACTAGGCTCGGCGATCTGCGGCCCACATGAATGATTTAGAACAATTCAGGCTTGCTAAGGCGCTCCGTCGCTTTCAACAAAGCTGCCAGCCGAGCTATGTCAGAGTCGCACGCTCATTCAAAGTTTGGCAGCTTCCTCCCCTTGACTGTTCCAGTTGTCCTCAAAACTCACCGGAACAGCACTGTCACAAACTGTGGAACTGTGTAAGTCTCTGTTAATGCCCTCAACTACTCGGCTTGCTTGAGGTCGCAATGGCGCAGATCTGCCGGCAACTTAGCAGCAGGTGCGCACCCTTCAATTTAGAAGCAGGATTGTGAAGGTCAAAACAAGATCTCAATGCGACTGGCATAGATGGGGTCCGCGACGCTGGCAGCCAGGGAGCATGACGTGTGGCCTTGGTGCAGTCGCTTACGCCCAGCTGCTGTGCTCGCGCCGCGTGCACTGGCACCAGGTGTCCAACCACCTGCCTGGCATGCGCTCATCGAAAACCCATCATCCTGTGGATACGTGCATTTTGCACAGGAAACCTGCTGTCAGACCTTTGCCCTCTGCTGTCAGCGTCGGCCAGCGGGCGGCCGTGCCGCGGCGGGCAGCAGTCCAAACGCGTGCAACGCTCAAGGCAATCATATTCGATTGCGAAGGTGGGCACCACCCTCCAAAAGGCAACTGAACACGCGCATGTTTGCATGTCAGGTTTGCCGCAGCCGCTGTGACCAAGTGCGTTGACAAACTGGCAGTTTGTCCGCCGGGAGGCGTCGCCAATCCTACGTCGTTTCGCGTGCACGCCTCGACCCCGCCCCTCCAGCCTGTTTCCTTGACCTGCCCCCCGCACACATGCCCGGCGTGCTGCTTGCGTCACAACAGGGGCAATTCTTGACAGCGATGAGCTCAGCCGGCGGGCCTTCAACGCCGCATTCGAGCACTTCGATGTCCAGGGCGGTGCGTATCGGCAGCGGCGCCCAGCACGCCAGCGGCAAGCAGCAGCATGCGTGCATTGCCTGCGCAGGCGCTCACGCATCATGCGCCCACAAGATGTTCATGGTGCGGTGTCACGTGGCGTAAGCAAGCGCGCACGCAAATGCAACTCGCCCCGCATCGGCAGGCGACGAGGGCGTCGTGTCTTGGAGCCGTGAAGGCTACGCGCAGCTGCAGAACTCTGCAGGCGGACGGGAGCAGGAGATGCGATGGTGGGTGCCGCTGTGGAGCGCGGGGGCGGCAGGACGCCGCACGCCTCTTGCCCTGAGCGCAATCACGGCTCAACGCCTTTTCACGCGCCCTGCTTGACAGCCCGCCACGCAACCATCAGGTTACTCCTGGTATGGCGCACCAAATGCAAGGCACGGGTGCGGGCCCTGTTTATTTTCAGTGCCCCTGTGTCAGTAAATGACCCCCACGGCCGTCCATGCTGGCAGGTACTTCAAGCGCGGCGGCTGGCCGACCAGCAAGGTGCTGGACGGCCGCAGGCCGGCGGACGAGCAGGAGCGGGCCGCGCTGGTGGAGGCCCTGGAGGGGTACATCTCCCAGGAGCGCGAGCGGATGATCAGGTGAGGGGACGGATTGTGCAGCATGCCAGGCTTAGCGCTGCCTCAGCGTCAGGGGCTGCCTCTGAGCCGGAGAATAAGACCGGCGTCTTCCATGCATACAGTCTTGGAGTCTCCACACCCCGCGGGCTGTGGAGACGCGCAACAGCCGGGGATCGCCGCGAATCCGGGCCTCCCTCTGTTCCCAAACGTCGCAGCTCCGGCGACATCGGGCCGCGGCCGGGGGTGCTGCGCCTGATGGACGAGGCGCGCGCCGCGGGCCTGGCCGTGTCGGTGCGCAGCGCGGCGGCAACCACCAGTGGCGCTGAGCAGCTTCTGGGCAGCCTCCTGGGCGAGGCACGCGCGGGGGCGCTGCAGTGCGTCGTCGCGGGCGAGGACGCGGGGCTGGGGCGTCCTGACGCAGAGGTCTTCAAGGTGCGTGACTGTTGGCGGCGTAACGGGGCCTGCCATGTTCCTGACAGTGCCGCCGATTGCCGCCACGTGCTGGCTAGCAGCTGCGTCGGTTTCCAGGACAGAGTGCCTGTCAGTGTTTTTTTTGGGGGGGGGGGACGAGGCCGCGGGCGGGGGGCAAGGCTGGTGGGAACAGCCGGTTGCACGACTGCTCTCAAGGACGCGCGGCCTTTTGGGCGCCTGCCCCACGGCCATGCAGGCGGCGGCCTCGCGGATGGGCGTGGAGCCTGCGGAGTGCCTAGCGGTGGAGGGCGGCAGCAGCGGATTGCAGGCGGCAATGTCAGCAGGGATGCGTGGCGTCGTCACGTACACACCATCGACCCAGTGGCAGGTTGGTGCCAAACCAGCCGCGCATTCCACTGCTGCCTTGGCCAGCGATCGCGGCGTGGCCGCCTGGACTGCCCCGCGCCGGCTGAGCGTTTATGCGGGGCGTGTGAGGTATGCGGCAACTCACTGTCGGGAGCTGCCAGGGTCGGCCGGGCACCGTCCGTCCCCCCCCCTCAAGCGGCCCCACCTGCCGCCTCACCCTACAACAAGCGTGCTTCGCAACGGCGCGTCATGCGCAAACTTGCAGGAGTTCCCGGGTGCAGAGCGCATCGTGTCCGACCTTGATTCTGGGGAGGTGACCGTCAGGGAGCTGCTGCAGCGCCGCATCGTGCAGGACGACCGCATCAACATGACCGTGACCGACGCGGGGGTCTTCTGGAGCAAGGGCGGCGCCCTCTGAGCCCGTCCGGGACGCCTCGCCGGCGGCGGCGCTGCAGAAGCGGCGGCACCTGTCAAGCGGCGCTTCTCTGCAGGGTGTGCGCCCGCCTCTGGTAACTGCTGTGAGGGGTCGCTGCCCACCTGTCCAACCCCTTGACCAACCAACTTCATCTGACAGGATCATGGCCATCGTATGACTGTGAGAGACAGGCATGCAAGTCTGAAACCCGAGCATCCACATTGCATTCGTCTTTGCTTGCCCTGATCCATGCCTGAACGGCATTGAATCTTGCACCTGGTGGACACACTTTGGCTGCGTCACAGCGGTTGCGATGTCGGAAGTCAGGTGGTTTGCCAAGGCGGGCTGCCTGCGTGACTCCCACAGCGCGAATGGGACTCTTGTGCCACCTCGTGGCAACCCAGGGCCGTCACGCTCAAGGGTGAGGTGATGAGTATAGTTTGAAATTCGACGCTGCGGTCCCCTCATGGCCTGCAGAGGCAGGGCTGCGTACAGGCCCGACACCATCTGAGCAGCGCAGCAGGGGGCCCGTGGCACGTTTCATTTGGCGCTCCAGCAGACCGCTTGCCAGTCACGCGTTACACCTGCAGCACAGTGCCAAGCATGTGCACGCTCGCTGAGACGAAGGGGCACCCAAACTGCCCGCAGATGCATGCCGATCACCCGCCCTGTGCCAGGGTGGCATAAACGGCCGCCGGTCAAATTGCAGCGCGCAGGCAGCGCCGCAGAAGCTGCCCACGGTGTGCATATGTCAGTGCGTCCGGCCCCGCCACGGCCCTTGCGAGTGAGGTGGTGCGGCCACTACAGTACTGGCGCCAGCCCGCATCGCCACCATCACAATCTGTCTTGATCCCAAGTCAACATAGCCAAAGATGCAAGGGTTGCCTTGATCTCTCCCCCCTCGCTCGAAGAATCTCGCACATAAAACGCAGCGGAGCAATGGATGTCGGCGCAGAGCAGCATGGGGGCTAGGTGGCAATTCCAGACATCAAGGTCGGCCGCTACGTGTACCGTGGCCGCCTGACTTTGCTGATGTCATTTTCCAGAGTCACCCAGGATGATTCAGTCGGTGCGTGCAAGGAAGGAATACTGCATGTGAGTGTGGTCGGGGTCTAGGAGGCGCACGAGACGTGCGAGTGTGTACACAAAAGTACGAAATAATGGATGCTGGTGCGCGTGGCCCGAGGCATGTGACGGCCAAGTCGCTGCCTGTGGTCGCGTCGACAGTCACCGCGGTTGCGCACGCCGTCTCCTCGTGCCTCGATGAAGGCGGGCAGGCGAGGCCTCGCACCCCGCAGAGCAGTCACACTCAGCGTCATACTCAGCGGCGAACACAGCAGAGGAATGCTTCTGCTGTGTTCTTGATTGGAAAGGGGCAGTGGCCCAGACAAGTTGATGTCGAGGTCGCACCCATGCATGCAAACTGCGGCTGCAAGCTTACAACAGCAGCGCAAGCACAGCTGCTGCCGCACCCATCGGCGCCACTGCCGCCCCGGCCCCGTTGCGTCGAGCAGCACCGCTCGTCCGCGGCGGCGGGGCCGTTGCCGCCGGCGCGGCCTGGTCAGCTGGGCCGGCGGCCTCGGCGCCTTTAGTCTCGCCGCCGGCCCATTGATTGAATATGGGCAGCTGGCTAGGCGGCACCATGCCCCCGTCTACAATGTGCAGGACGACTTTCTTGTCCTTGGTGGCTTGGTTGCCAATGTTTATGGGTCCCCCATTTACGAGGATGCCATACAGGGCCTCGCCAGTGGGGTCACGCGTAATGTTGAGGGGTTCACCGCCCCTGGCAATAGAGGTGTGAGAGTGGTGAAGTGAGTGAGCGTGTTTGCATGCGTGCAGGGATGCGGGCATGTGCACACGCATACGCGCAGTACGCGCGTATGCTTGCACGGACGCGTGTGCATGCGTGCATGCGTGCGTGCGTGTGTGTGTGGGCATGCGTGTGCGTGTGCGTGTGCGAATGTGGGCTCTTACGTGTGTTGAAACGTGCACTTGCGTGCGTACGTGCGTGCGTGCGTGCATGTGTAATGCAAATGCACGTGTATACGTTTGTGCATGTATTGATACGGGAGACCACATGGTCTCCCGTATCAAGCTGTCATGGATGGTTGCGCTGGATGGTGTCATGAACTCAGCGCCCCTTCTCCCCCGCTCCTCGCTGCCCCACCCCCATCTTAAATCTCCGATACGACTCCCATTCGCCCCATCCGTGCTGGCCGCCACCCCAACACACCACTTACAGGGTCTTAAGGGAGATGGGCGCAGCCTCGTACAGCTCGGCGGCGGTCCAGGCCTTGCCCGGGACGATCATGAACCTGAAAATCGACTGAATGAAAGTGTCGTTCTGCAGAGCGAGGCCAGCATAGCGCCCGAGCTTCTGCAGGAACGCCTTGTTGCTCTGACAGTGTACATGTATGCGTGCAGGTGTGTGCGGGTGCGGCCACGAAGAGTGTTGGTGGGAGGGCAATATGTTGCATGTCTAAATGCGGATGGGCTTGATCCATCCCCCGGATGTGGGGAGCGGTGCATTGCACAGAACTACCCCACTGCAAGAGCAGGGGCGGGCAGTAGTGCGGGACATGAACAGGGTGGGATTGCCCACCTTGTCACTGGTGGGGAAAGCAGTGAGGGTCTGGTTGGGCGTTGTTAGGTACTGGCGCATAACCGCGTCGCCCTTGATGACGTTCATGATGATGGACAGCTGAGGTGGGGCGGGGGTGGCGTGGGGGCAGGGCAGGGGTGGGGGTTTGAGAAGGGTGAGTGTGTGTTGGTACGCTGGGCATCTCCCATCATGTGGGAAATTCAGCTTGCACCACCAGCCGCCGCAGCAGGCAAGATGTTGCAGACGAAAGAACAGGTGCTGATGGCGCCTTTGACTGTAGATGACAAGGCTGGAGCCTGCGACCCGTCAAAATACAATGTAGCCCGCTTGACCGCGTCGGTAACCGCCCTAGGTTGCCGCCCCCAGCTTTCTGTGCCACACAGGCATCGGCGGTGCCGCTGCCGCAGAGCGCGTGCACATCTCTGCTGCGCTTGTGATCTTTGCTCGCGCTGCACAACTTGCAGGGCACGGCCTTGCCTGGGGATACAAAGCGGCACCCTGGAATGCGGTGGCTGTGTCCGTCACGTTCAGCTTGTCTGCTGGCAGGGTGTTGGCCGGTGCAGCGCCTGCGCCCGCGGCGCAGCACACTGGGTGTCGCCGGGCGCGGGTAGCAGGGTGCGGGTAGCAGGGTCAGGTTCGCGGAATGGGTCTGTTGGCACCAGTTGGGCTGGGCCATGTGATTCTTAAATCCTTGGGATCCATTTAAACTTGTCAGGCGCACAAGCTTGGGCCGCGTCATGCTGCGGGGTGGCAACAGCTGGCTGCAGGAGCGAACCAGCAGCACTGCACTCACCAAGAAGCAGGGCCAACGTGCTGCACCACCGCCCCATGGGGCTGCCTGTCGACGAGTACATGATTATTCTATATTATTATGACCGATACGCGCCGGTGAGATTGCCCTGATGTGCAGCCTGGCGAGGGGGGGATTCACCAGGTCGATGGTGGGGCTTGGACTATCGAATCTCGAGACCTGTTGGACAAAATCTTATCTTATAGGTCAAAGATTACGTAGGCTATTATTTCTCGGTTGCTAGTGGCCACTTTGAGGATGGGAACGTGTCGACAATTGGAGCTCACTTTCAGAACGGGTGACCCCTGCTTCCCGGGGGCGATTACAAGGCAGTGCTGGGTCTAAGTGCAGTTTAAAGATTGGTGGAACACTTGTGGTCGTCAACACGGCGCACTATCAACAGTCATACTTGGGCCAATCACCAGCCGGGCGGTGGTGCGCGGGGTGCCTGGCAGGTGGTGGGGCGGAGCTCGGCATGCCCACTTTGGGCGCAGCGCCACACACGCGCTCGTCAGAGCCGGTTTCTCCACGCAGGCAGCTAAGAACCTTGCCAATAAACATGGTACAATGGTCCGGGTCGTCCTAGTTGCTGCAGACCAGCCGCTGCCAAGGTTCGCGCCACTGGCATGCAGGACCGCCTGCACTGCGGCCAACCCCATTCTCAAGCACATTGGTGGCATGCCTGAAGGCTTGCTTGGGCAGACGCCTGGTCCTAATCCCAACCATGCAAACGGGAAAGGGCCCCTGTGGCCGGGTCTCTCCTGCCGCGGTCAGCGCCGCCCAGCATTACAGTCAGATGGACCCAACATTGATCACGCGCACCCTCGCGTAAATGCAAATTACACAGGCGGAGGAAGCAGCGGCCGCCACCGCCACCATGCATCTTGGATGCACGCTGCATGGCCCCCTGACGAGGGTGACAAGGCAGGTAAAAAGGGGGGACTGCTGGAAAATTGGTGAGCCGCAGGGCGCAAAACGCGCTGCTCATACGCAGTCGCAGTATCCAACGTGCCGCATGGTATGTGGGAAAATGCACAATGTGAACACAACCCACTCGGGACATGCGGCTGATCAGAAATCCAGGTCGAAACAGGAGCGCAGCCCGCCGCCGGTCTCCATACAGGGAGGCGCAGGGGTGACCACGCCTCAGCCGGCAGTGCGGGGAGCACACGATTCACATGCCTGGCCCGTTTGTATGTGCGCCCCAAGCGTCGAAGGATTGATACCAAGACACGCGACATGCCGCCGGCCTTGGTGGCCAATCAAAAGCCAAGGTGCTGCCGAAGGCATGCAGATGTCCGATGATGATGACTATAACTTCGTGCACGTTGTGGCGGAGTTGCGCGCGCTGGGTTGACGTATGGCATGCAGAATAGGAATGAACAGGCTCTGCCAACACCACGCGCATACGGGGCGACGCGTGTTGGCACACAGGATGGGGGCACAGGCAGAGTATGGCGCGGCAAGCCTTCCTATGCGGCAGTGGCGGTTATACCGCAAGACTCATGCACGCCGCTGGTTGGCGCATGCATCGCCCATGCAGTGTGCGTGCGGTGAGCCAGCCACGAGAGCTGTGACGCCGCTGGTTGCAAAATCGCCTGAGTGTGGAGCGGGCGTACCAAACAGGGTTGGAATACTGCTGACATCCGGATCTGATGCAGGCCGACTCCGACGGCCTTGAAATCGAAATTAAATGCAGCATTTCCAGGGGTTGCCCCTCCCCCCCCTTGCAGGGGCGCATGAATCAATGACTGCGTGTAACCGCGCAGAAGCCAATCGCCACCTCATGTCACCTGGCCACGTGGCTGAGTGACGACGCCGCTGTAGCTCGCCGTGCGGACAACGTCGGCGGGCGTAGAGCCCACTCGCAATATGGGGTCAATGATTCTTGAATAAGCTACAGCTGGGTTTGAGGAGGCCGGCCTTTTGCCAGGCTGCCAAAATCCCTCAGATCCGATCGATGCCAACGCTCAGACC